GTAAAATTGCGAATTTGCATAAAATTGAGTTAGGTTTGATTAGAAGGCTTAAGAATAAGAATTCTAGTCAACCTGGGTCGCGTAAGGTAATGAGCGAGTGAGAGTCGAATTTTTCCTTGATAATACGAATAGGCGCCAGTTTTCCATAAAATGTCACATAATCTTCATTTCTACAAAGTGCCTATAAGAGCCAGGCGAGGTAAAAACTACAGTCCAGTCCAGCCTGAATGAGGATTTCTTTTGGGAAGCAATGTCAGGTGAAATACATTGGCACTTTGAGACTTATTAATATCGTTTTGATAAAATGGACTATTTTCGTAATTGAGTAGGTTTTCGAGACCACCAGTAAATCAGATATACGAGTTGTGTTCACCCTATTTCGTTTAAAGTGATGAAAGCGTGGTAGTTGAATTTTCTCACAATCATATGAGTAGAGCTGACGTTTTCATTGAATTTCGCATAGCCTTGCTTTCCGAAACTCTGCTTATAAACGAAAAATAAGTAATATGAGTTATAATAGTCATTTATAATATATGGCGATATAACTTTGTTGCATCTACTTTCTAGTTCATTTATAAACTGTCTCATTAAGCTATTCACAATATGGCATTAAGAGAGCTACTTATCACCTACATCAGACTTCCTTCTGCCTGCAACCGAGAAGCACTATATTTGGCCGTAGCTCACTACGATGAATTACGCCACAGTTTCCAGTTCATTCGAGCTGTCCAATGTGTTTTCATTTATTCAGACTAACTGGTATCTCACCAGCTTTTCCTCCCTAATGTCCTATTTCTTTCTCACTTTTACTTCTGGTCCAATCATTGTCACTGTCTCCCTTTCTCCCAAATTAGACCGGTGAGGCACAGAGTCTCCTATCCACCATCCTCGAGGTCCAGCCGCGTACAGGCAGCACAGGAGTGGGCAAAACCAACGATGAAATCGTCTTTGAAATGGCGGATAACATTCTCTCTCGCCTAATGGAGAGCATCGACTTGGAGGAAGCGAAGCCTGACTTGTTTGATGAGGACGAACAAGGCCGAGTAGACTCGCTGACAACAGTACTCACACAGGAGTTGGATCGCTATAATCGACTTCTCAGACTGATCCGGGTGAGCTAGAAACCTCGACTGTATCTAGGCAGAGGAAGGGGAACGGGAAGACCCTATTCTCTAGGTTATCGATGTCATTAAATTCCACTTATTTTCCCTTTATAACCAGTGTTTTGAGACTACCAATAAGTCATCTATCTGAGATAGATTCGCCCTATTTCGTTTAAGGTAATGAAGGACTGGTTGTTGAATTATCCCACAATCATATGAGTAGGGCTGACGCTTCCATTGCATTTCGCATAGCCTTGCTTTCTCAAAAGATATTTTAACCCAGGCAGAAGTGGGTTGCAGTTTCAACCTCGCCTAGGTCTTATCAGCAACCCCAGGA